TCGCTGTAGTTGATGTAGACAACGTGTTTATCTTTCTTCAGTTGTTTGCCCGCTGGGGTCCTGAAACTGTCCATGAGCGAGGCCTCGGACCCCTGCTTGCCAGCGTCGCAAACAAACCAGGCGACCTTGTCTGGGAGTTCGGGGGTGTTCTCATCATCGCCACCAGGCGGGAACGCGGCCAGCGCCGCACCTACCAATTTCTTCATGTGATTGCTCTGGAGGTAAGCAATGCGGGTGTGGGGGCGGCTCGACGCCTGGCGAGCCACTTTCGAATCGTAGAAGACCCCGATGTATGCAGGCTTGCCCCCGGCAATGGCAGCGTCCACCAGCTTCGGGCCCTCGGAGATCGCGACGGAGGCCTTCAACATCTCGACGAGTTCGCTCTCGCGCTCGGGCTCTGGGAACCTCAGTCTCTGGCCCCCGCAGTGCACTCTAGAAGAGGGCCCCCCTCGGCCATCTCGCAAGCCACCTAGGGCCTCTCAGCCATCTTGTCGTGACCAACTCGTCGTCGCAGTGGCCGGGCGCGGCTCGGGGAACTGGCCCGCTTGGGCCCCGGGGGGGGCCCGAAGGAAGGGGGTCCGAGCCTACCAAGAAGATGGCTGAGAGGCCCTAGATGGGGTCGCTGCCTGTCTGACCGTCTTGGTTGTTGTTGTTGGGCGCTGAGACACCGTCTAGTGCCCACTCAGAGGGGCGTCTTGGACCGCCTTGGGCGCTGAGACGCCGCATTGGGCCCAAGAGGGCCCAAGACGGCGGTGATTTCGCTTAGGGCGCCCCTTAGAGGTCGACGTGTTTTCACCGCACTCTTCTTGGCATCGCTCTTACTTGGAAGGCCTCGGGGTGGCCCATCGGACCCCCAACAGGGCGGCCCAGGAGGGCCCCGAGATATTCCAGCATGACCCAATATGGCGTCCAAGAAAGCCAAGTGCGGCCCAGGATAGCTCCAGGGCCGAATCGGACCTCTTCTCGGGCCAATCGCAGCGCCATCAGTCCCACGGGGCCTCTTCGGACCGTCTGGAGGAAGAAAAGCGCGGAGGCCTGGGGGTGAAGGGGGGAAGAGGAGGAGGAAGGGGAGGGGGAAGAGGAGAAGGAGGAGGAGGAGGAGGAGGAGGAGGAGGAGGAGGAGGAGGGGGAGGCGTAGGAGGGGGAGGAGGAGGAGGAGGAGGAGGAGGAGGTTTACCCAGCAGTCCTAGGCGGCGCGACCGCCGAGAAAGGCTAAGTCCGCTGCAGCTGGACCAGCGTGCGGACTCGCTCGAAGATGTCCCGCTTGTGCTTGGCAATCTTGGCGCTCGTGGACTCGTCCATGATGTTGATGCTGATCGTCGCGTTCGTGCGGCTGACAATGTTTATCTCCTCTGCCGTGGTAGTGTGCTTGACCGCCCCCAGGTCCATTTCAGGTTCCTGATCCTCATCATCCTTCTTGTCTGAGATGGCCTGGCCAGTCTCCTGTTTCCACAGCGCCTCAATTTCCTCGAACTCTTCAGGGAAAGGGGCCTCCTCGATCATGCTGCTCGCTGATTTCCGAAAAACAATGGAACGCTTCATGTACTGGTCGTATTCGGTGCCGTAGACGGTCTCCTCCAAGAGGCGGAAACTCTTGATCGCGCTATCCTTCCAGGTGGCCCGCCACGTCCCATCGAGCCTCGAAGACGGGAACCCGCACTGGTTGCGGTAGGACTCGTGCGCGGCAAGAACTTCCGACAACTTCTGGAACGCATCAGGGTTGCAGTAGGGGGACAACTTCTCCAGCAAGATATCTTTCGCTTGCTTCCTGAACAGGGCGAGCTCCGCAATGCCCTTCCCGTTCATGCCCGGCGACTGGCCTTTGAGCGCCCTCTCGCTGATGGAGTCCCCGAGGTAGCCACATTTCCATGAGTCGTAGAGGCTGTGAAATACCCACTTCATGTCACTCACGCCTTTTATCTTCTGGTTGATAGCTTCGATCTTGGCGACTGAATCGAATGGATTCTTGGCCCCATCCCTGTCGTCGCACTCCAGCAAGAATTTTCGCAGATCTGGATGTACAAGCACGCTCTTGTGCACGCGAATCGCCTGGGTGATGAAGGTGGTAGACACGGACTCCGAGCTCTCTGCCATCTTGACCTTCTCCTTGTAGAGCTCGGCCATCTTCTCCACGGTGAGCGTCACCCCCGCATTCGCCTCGTGCTTGCCCTTGAACATGATGACCTCGTAGAGCCGCTGCAAACTGGACCGGCGCATGGAGGCGAAGTCATGCGCGATGTTCTCCCGCTGGTTCACCGCTCTCCAGTGGAGCTCGTCGTCGTCCTCGACGAAGGAGAACCTCGGCTGTCGTCGTCGTCGTCGCCGTCGTCGTCCTCGTCGTCCTAGTCGTCGTCATCGTCATCGTCGTCGTCGTCGTCGTCGTCGTCGTCGTCGTCGAAGTCGTCGTCGTCGTTGTCGTCGTCGTCGTCGTCGTCGTCGTCGTCGTCGTAGTCGTCCTAGTCGTCTTAGTCGTCCTAGTCGTCGTCGTCGTCCTCGTCGCCGTCGTCGTCGTCGTAGTCGTCGTCGTCGTCGTCGTCGCCGTCGTCGTCGTCGTCGTTGTCGCCGTCGCCGTCGTCGCCGTCGTCGTCGTCGTCGTCGCCGCCGCCGGCGGGCGGCGCGACCAGCGGTCGGTCGAAGGCAGGTCGATTGGAGGGAGGGGAAGAGGAAGTGAGGAGCCTCCTCCTCCTCCTCCTCCTCCTCGAGCGGCCGAGCTGCCGACAAGGTATCGGAGATCGGGGATCGGGGATTTGGGGATCGGGGATCGTCCGATTGACGATCGATCGCGCTGGGGGCAGGACTTAACCGTGGTAGACAACAACGACCTCCTCCATCTTAGCAAGACATCATCGTCCACCTTGTTGTCGATGTCGCGTTTGATCGCCAAGTAGATGGCCATCCTCATCTCCTCGGGGGTGAAGCTCTTGAGCTGACCTGACTTGCCGAGCGCTGCGGGGTCCGCGCCCTTCGGGATGGCGATCTGCACGATCACTGGGACGAAGTCGGGCTGCGAGAAGTAGTGCTGCACCAAGTGGTCGATGGCTGCCGGCTTCAACGGAATCCCCGGCGTGGCGGAGAAGTGGGGATCCACGCCCATCAGGTTGAAGCCGCACGTGTAGTTCCCAGTAGCTTTCATCGCCCGCTCGAACTCTTGACTGTTGAACGGCTGAATCTGACCCACCGTGTTGGCGTCATCGCCAGCGTGTATGTCTAACGCGCAGGCGTCCATGATGTTGAAGAACACGGGATTGTCGATGATGGCGCGTTTGGCCTGGGTGACACGGTCGTGAACCTGGGCGTTGCACGCCCGCTCCTCAGGGGACAAGAGGTCGATTGCCTGAGCCCCCCCTCCACCGCCGCCGTCTGGACCAGGCTCCGCATGCGCCTTCGCCTTCGGCTTCGCCTTTGGCTTTGCTCTCGGGGGCATCGCAGCGAGGCTCCAGGCCGAACTGCTGCTGCAGCAGCAGCAGAGAAAGAAAAAGGGAAGTTGCGGCCTCATCCGCTGCGCCGCAAAGCGGCCGAGGAGCCTTCCTTGATCGAGAAACCATTGCGGGTGGAGAAGGATGGGGGCGGGGGAAGGCGGCGGGATAGGGGGGGAGAAAGGGGTGGGAGGTTGGAGGAAGAGGGAGGGGGAGGGGAGGACGAATGGGGGAGGGGACAGTAGAGAGCGGGGTGGAAGGCGGCTCAGATGGGGCCGATGGCTCTGGGCGCGACGGTTCGGCATCGCCCGAGAGCTCACGACGGTTCCAGACTCAGGTGGCCAGATAAAAGATGGGGTCGAAGGCGCCAGACCATTTCGAGCAACCTGATGATGATGCTGTCGAGAACTCCAAAGCCACATGGGGTCGAGGGCTCCAAGGCCATATGGGGTCGAGATGGGGTCGAGGGCTCTGTTTTTTTCCCGGAAGCGGCTTCGGCCCAGGGTTCTCTTTTAGTATGTAAGCAATGTCCCCCGTGCCCAACTTGAAGGAGGCCGGCGGATTCTTTCCCTGAAATATCGAGGTCGAAGGAGGCCGGCGTATTAAAATTAGAGGATATCTCAGGCGAAACGCTTCTTTTTGAAATCCCGATCGATAAATCACAGGGTGCGGGCCACTCCAGCACGACCACGCCCCAGCACGACCACGCCCCAGCACGACCACGCAGCACGACCACCCCCCAGCACGACCACCCCCCCCCAGCACGACCACACCCCAGCAAGACCACACCCCAGCACGACCACACCCCAGCACGACCACACCCCAGCACGACCCGATCGATAAATCACAGGGTGCGGACCACCCCAGCAAGACCACGCCCCAGCACGACCACGCCACAGCACGACCCCACCCCAGCACGACCACGCCCCAGCACGACCACACCCCAGCACGACCACCCCCCAGCACGACCACCCCCCCCCAGCACGACCACACCCCAGCACGACCCCAGCCTAGCACGACCACACCCCAGCACGACCACACCCCAGCCAGCACGACCACACCCCAGCACGATCCCACCCCAGCACGACCCCACCACAGCACGACCACCCCCCAGCACGACCACACCCCAGCACGACCACACCCCAGCACGACCCCACCCCAGCAAGACCACACCCCAGCACGACCACACCCCAGCACGACCTCACCACAGCACGACCACACCCCAGCACGACCACGCCCCAGCACGACCACGCCCCAGCACGACCACCCCCAGCACGACCACCCCCCAGCACGACCACCCCCCCACCAGCACGAGCACGACCACACCCCAGCACGACCACACCCAGTCGCACCCCCGTGGAATGTTTCGTGGGGTGTCTGGTTGAGTGGGGTGTCTCGTGGAATGTTTCACGGGGTGTCTCGTGGATTCGTGAGGTGTCTCGTGGGTTGTTTCGTGAGGTGTCTCCTGGGATGTTTCGCGGGGTGTCTCGTGGGATGTTTCGCGAGGTGTCGCCCAGTTGGATATAGTGAAAACGTGACCATGCTGCACATGTCTATATCCCTTTCCGGGTTCGTGGGTCCATCATGTTTCGGCAAGGCTTGGGGTGGCTTTGAACTTCCCGCGACGACGGGGTCCGTCGCCATTTTGGCTCAAACGGTGCGCGCGGAGCGCCTCCATCGCCTATGGCGACGATGACATGAGGAGTACTGCGAATAATAGCGGCGTGGGGATGTCCAGAGCAGCCGGCGGAGGAGGGCGACCGGCCAGCTCCCTCGCCGACGATCTCTTGGACGTCCTCTTCCAGGACAGTGACCAGGGGAATCCCCCCCGCAGCCTTGCGGACGAGCTCTTTGGCGAGATGTTCGCCGAGGGGGCTTCGACGACGGCGACGTCTTCTCGCAGCTGGTGGCGACGGCGGCACGGGGCAGCGGGCGTTGGGCCCGAACTGACGGGAGCTGATGACCTACTTGGCGCCGCTGCCGCCGCAGCAGGCTCGCGGCCGACGCTTGACGATCGCGCTGATCTTGGCCCTGCAGGGAGCGGAGCCGCTGCTTCTGCAGCAGGGGGCGGAGCGGCTCCGCGCGGAGCCGCTGCTTCTGCATGCGGCGGTCGGGGCGTCGTTGAACCGCGCGTGTTAGTGCCGCCGCCGCTGCTGCAAACTGGCGTTGCATGTGCGTGGGCGCAGCCGACGACGACGGGTGTTGGAGACTCGGCTCGAGCGCTACACACTGGCGATGATGGAAGCAACCGCCGAGCGGACGCTCAGGCCGCCGCCGAGCAGTCGCCCGAGAGCGTGACAAAGCGCCACGCTGCCATCACTCTGATGCAACAGCAGCTGGGCCGCAGAGCAGCTGTTGCTGCTGCTGTTGCTGTGGCCGGGGCGCGGCCTGCTGCTGGCGGAGCTGCCGCCGCCGCTGGGCGCCACCAGCAGCGATCGCGTTCCCGCCGCGGGGGCTCGCCGCTGCGGGGAGCGGATGGAGCCCGCGCGCTGCTCGAGCAGGCTCCCTCCCACGGCCTCCCCCCAGCGCCCTCCGAGCGCTGGGAGGACGGGCGCCACGGCGCCATGACAGTCATGGCGCAGGCCCTTGAGAAGTGGCCAAGGGCCCTGGAGGCGGCGTGGCCGCCAGGCGGTGCCTGGCTGGAGCTTCCGCTGCCGTGTTTGCTGGAGCGGGCGCTGGAGGTGGCGGAGCGCGAATGGCGGGTCGGAGGTCGAGCCTACATTGGCTCGACCTCCGACCCCGCCTGGCGCTGGGAAGGGGGGTGGTATCGAATGCGCCTACGGCGATCCACCGCCGTCCATTCCTTATGGTTGCGCTTATGTGGGCGCGCGCTGCTAGGCCAGAGCCTGGCCACGGTACTGGACTATGTGTTCCGTCTGTCGCTGCGGGAACCAAGCGGGGAACATGGAGGAGGATGAAGAAGTGGAGAGGATCTGAGAAAACATGGGGAGGAGGAGGAGGAGGAGAAGGAGGAGGAGGAGGAGGAGGAGGAGGAGGAGGAGGAGGTGAAGGAGCCCCCGTTCTTGTGCGTTCTCCACGATACGGATATGGACATCGAGAAGCATCGAAGCGGGGGCGCGCAACCATCAGATCGCCCGAGACGGATCAAGAAGCCCTCGAGAGGAACGGGGGGGGAGGACGAGAGGGATAAGGCAAGCTAGATGCGCTCGCGTTACATATGACATCCTACCCCCCCCCCCCGCATCCCTTCACATTGCGCTATTTATTTGTCTCCCAGCGAATACTTGTGCACCCATGCATTGCCAGGGGATGGAAGGTGACGGCGGATGCCAGCCCATCCTCGGACGCAGCGCTCGGGGGCAGCCTATTCCTCGGGGGGGGGGGGGAGGAGGAGAAGGAGGAGGATGGGCAGATTGATTAAATCCAACTCGTGCATCGCGGCAGGGTGGCGGACCTCCCGTCGGAGCGGAGCGATCGGCGGCGGCGCGCGGTGGAGGGGGGCCGGGCGTGGATGGACGGCCACCGGCTGAATTGGCGGAGGATGGCGGTGTTGGGATCATGGCCCGACGGGGAGGCTGGCGATGCAGAGGCCCAGGCCATCACTTATGTTAAGGACCGTTTGCCTCATTGCCTCACCAACAGGTGTGCAGATGCCCGTGGACTTGAAATTCGATCACACGGATATTCGTTTGTGTACATCTGTTTTGACTTGCGCAGGCCTGTGATGCAAAATGATATGGGGGGGCGGATGGGCCAGGGGATCCCAGCGCGACTCCAATTAGTGGAAAGCGTCCTCAGTCCTCAGCAGTTAGCAAGTAAGCAAGCAAAGTCGGAGGAGGAGGGGGAGGCGGAGCAGGAGAAGGAGGAGGAAACAGGGGGAGGAAGGGGATGAGGGATGATGGAGGGGAAGGGGGAGAAAAGAGAGATAAGGGGAGAAATTGGGATCTGATGCACGAATTTGGGGGAGAGAGGGGTGGGAGGCCGCGCCCAGAGTTACAGAAGCCCGACGTTGGAGGAGAGAGGAGGAGGAGGAGGAGGAGGAGGAGGAGGAGAGGAGGAGGAGGAGGAGGAGGAGGAGGAGGAGGAGGAGGAGGAGGAGGAGGAGGGTGGTGAGAAGGAGAATCGATCCGGCGGGGGCCTTAAGGATACTTTGATGAATCAGGACCCCCCGAGGTGGGGGTTGAAGTCTCCTGGAAGGCTTCATTCGTTAACCAATGCCCCAACCGTACTATGGCGTTGCCTGTCTACCTATTTTGCCTTCTCCTCCTCCTCCTCCTCCTTTCTCCTGCCCCCCCCCTTCTCCGCCTCCTCCTTCCCCTCTTCCTCCTCCTCCTCCTCCCCTCCTCCTCCTCCTCCTCCTCCTCCTCCTCCACATCATTATCCTCCTCCTCCCCCTCCTCCTCCTCCTCCTCCTCCTCCTCCTCCTCCTCTTCCTTCTTTTGCCCCCCTGATGCACGCGCGCGCCCTCGCGGCAGGCCGGCGGCGATCCTCGTCGCCAGGGGCCGACGGCGTCGCCGGCTGCCCGCGGGGGCCGCCGCGGCGCGGGGCGCCGGCCGCCGCCCAGCGGCAGCGGGCGGCGGGCGGCGGAGGGGTGGCGGAGCGACGACGACGACGACGACGACGACGACGGCGACGGCGACGACGACCCCGTTGCTCTGTTCGCTGGGGTCAGGGCGAGGAAACTTCAGACGACGAGGGAAACGGAGAGTGGGAAGAAGATGAGGAGGGGAGGAGGAGAAGGAAAAGCAGGATGAGGAGGAGGAGGAGGAGGAGGAGGAGAAGGACAAGAGGGGGCCCTGCCCCCCCGCCGCGGCTGCTGGAGAGGGAAAAAGAAGAAGAGGATGACGACGCAGATGATACTGAAGAAAAGGATGATGATGATGATGATGATAATGATGGTGATGATGATGATGATGATGATTATTATGATGATGCTGATGCTGATGCTGATGCTGATGATGAGACGATGGGGCAATGAAACGATCAATATGGGGATAATGGCGATGACGATGCCGATGATGGTGATGACGGGGATGATGCGGATGATGATGATGATGATGATAATGATGATGACGGCAACGAAGATCATGATGATGACGATAATGATGATGACTGCGACAGGGACGAGCGAACTACAGAAGCACGGGGGGCGAAATGCATGATGTGACGACGATGATAATGATGGTGGTGATGATGAAGATGATGATGACGAGGGCGATGATGGAAATGGTAACTATGACAATTGGGGTGATGCCTGACGATGGGCGGCGATGACGATAACGACGATGATGATGATGATGATGATGATGATGATGATGACGATGATGATGATGCTGATGGCGATGATGATGGTGATGGTGATGGCGCGGGCCATGATGACGATGAGGAATGGCGGCGATGGTAATGATGGCGACGACGACGAACGACGACGACGACGACGACGAGGGCGGCGGCGGTGACGAAGACGACGAAGGACGACAACACCGACGACGACCACGACGAGGAGGGGGGAAGAGGAGGAGGAGGAGGACGACGACGAATAAGTAAGAGGAGGAGGAGGAGGAGCAGGAGAAGGAGAAGGAGGAGGAGGAGGAGGAGGAGGAGGAGCTTGTGCCCCCTGCCTGCCGCCGGAGTTCGTGCCCAACGGAAGGACACTCGTCGTCCCCGGAGGTCCCGACAACTCTTTATTATTACCACCGCCGAAAAACCCGCCGCGCCAAAAAGAAGGAGGAACAGGAGGAGGAGGAGGAGGGAGAGGAGGAAGAGGAAGAGGACGACGAGTAACCCGAGTAAGCCTAAGGCCAGGCCAGCCTCCCGGCGGGGGAGGGATCAAAGGGAAGGGGCTTCCCTTCGACTCAATTACGAGGTTGCTCAAGGTCGGCTTGGCTGGAGCCCAGGGGAAGAGGAGTCCCAGGGGGGGGCGTCGTATCTGACCCGGGGGGGGGGTCGCTACCCCCCCCCCCCTCCCGGCGGGGGAGGGATCAAAGGGAAGGGGCTTCCCTTCGACTCAATTACGAGGTTGCTCAAGGTCGGCTTGGCTGGAGCCCAGGGGAAGAGGAGTCCCAGGGGGGGGCGTCGTATCTGACCCGGGGGGGGGGTCGACACCCCCCCCCCCCTCCCGGCGGGGGAGGGATCAAAGGGAAGGGGCTTCCCTTCGACTCAATTACGAGGTTGCTCAAGGTCGGCTTGGCTGGAGCCCAGGGGTTGCTCAAGGTCGGCTTGGCTGGAGCCCAGGGGAAGAGGTCTCCCAGGGAAAGGGAAGGACAGAGACGACGAGTACAAACAATGACGGAGATGACGGCTCGAACGGAAAAACCCCTCACACACGCCGACAGGGTCGGCGGACGATTTTTTCGAATATTTTTGACAAGTTCCCTTTTGTATTTCTTGAGTACTCACAATTTCATCCAAAATCCCCCTGTAGGAGGACAGTCCCAACTTAACTGTAGGATTCTAACCATTTCAGATGTCCCATGTGGCGAACGTGTGGCAGGGCTAGGGGACCTCAGAGCCTAGAGTTTCGAGGACGTCTCCGGCGAAGCGCGCCGGATCACCTCGCGCGCAACATGTCGGAGTTCAGAGTCGTGAGGATGTCTCAGGCGAAACGCGCGGGACCAAGAGTTGCGAGGATGTCTCAGGCGACACGGGCCGAACCACCTCGCGCGCGGCAGCTCAGAGCTCAGAGTTGGGAGGATTTCTCGGGCGAAACGGGTCAGACCACTTCCTCGCGCGGCATGCGAGGACGGATCAGGCGGCGTCCAGACCCTTCAGAGCACAAGTCGACAACAGAAGTGGAATCAAATGGTTTGTTTGGTTCTGACCCCTCCGCCCTCCCCCTTCCTATTCTTCTCGGAGCCCAGAGTTTCGAGGATGTCTCAGGCGAAACGCGCCAGACCACCTCGCGCGCAGCATGTCGGAGCCCAGAACTGCGAGGATGTTTCAGGCGAAATGCGCCAGACCACCTCGCGCGCGGCAGCGTCTTGGAGTTCAGAGTTGCGAGGATGTCTCAGGCGAAACGGGCCAGACCACGTCGCGCGCAGCATGCCGGAGCTCAGCGCTGCGAGGATTTCTCAACCGAACCGCGGCGGACCACCTCTTGCGTAGCATCTCGGAACTCAGAGTCGCGAGGCGAAACGCGCCGGCTCACCTCGCGCGCGGCATCTCCGAGCTCAGAATTGCAAAGATGTCTCAGGAAAAACTGGCCGGATCACCTCTCGCGCAGTATCTTGGAATTCAGAGTTTCGAGGATGTCTCAGACGAAACGCGCCAGACCACCTCTTGCGCAGCTTTTCGTAGATCAGAGTTGCGAGGATGTCTCATGCGAAATGGGCCAGACCACTTCGCGCGCGGCAGCGTCTCGGAGCTCAGAGTTGCGAGCAAGTCTCAGGCGAAACGGGCTGGACCACCTCGCGCGCAGCATCTCGGAGCCGAGAGCTGCGAGCAAGTCTCAGGCGAAACGGGCTGGACCACCTCGCGCGCAGCATCTCGGAGCCGAGAGTTGCGAGGATGTCTCAGGCGAAACGCCAAATCCCAGCCAACTCAGTCTCAGGCGAAACGGCCCACATCATTAAATTTTGTTGAGGATGTCTGTGGGCGCGCGTCCTTCGACCGGAGCTAGGTAGGAGCACAACAACGCCCCGTTCAGCAAGCAATTCGGGCACACGTGTTGTCTGGGGATATTGGACTCTGGCTATAATGTGGTTCCCCTTGTTTTTGGGATCCCCGGGTGCTCTATGGCTCCAGAGCGATGACAGAACATTTTGGAGCATATATAGAGACTGATCCCGTCGGAAGGCTCTGGGCTCAACAGCCCATTTCCCTCAGGACTCCTTTTTTCCTTCAAGCCAAAGTCTAGGGCTCCATGCATCTTGGCGCGGGATCTCGGAGGAGGGCCATTTGAGACAACGACGGCTCTCCCGCCTGGCTCAAATCCGCCCGAACTCGGTCCCTGGACCTCTCACTGGATCCATACTGACTCGTTTTTCGACGCAGATCCAGCCGTGGCGACGAGAAGCTTCGGGGAGCCCCAAAAAGGAGGAAAAATGCCAGGGAGGGAGAGCCTCCGCTGTAACTTTCGGCTGGGCCTCCTCCGAGGGTCGTGGATCGTCTTCCCTGGACCCAGCGAGTTCTGTGAGGATCAGCGCGGATCAAGCGAGCGGGGTTTGGCAGCTAAGGTTACGGGTCGCTGGGGCTATCGGACGCGTCGTGCGAGCAGCACGGGCTTCGTTGCCACACGCTGCGCATCGCGTGCGAGAAGCCGTAAGAAGGAGGGCCGGCGCAACCACGCCTCAGGCTCCCCAGGAGGCGGTAAGTGACGACAACGACGATTACGAGGAGCTGTACGCTTACTCTTCACGACTGGTCAAGATCTTCGCTGCTGTGACCTTCGTCCCGTTCCTCTTCTGCCTGAAGAACTTTTTCTTTTACAGCAAGAAGCTCAGTGACTTCAACCTCGAGTATGGGCCACACCTGGCCACGTCAACCTTGAAGGCGACGTCTATGATCCAGTTTGTCATGATCGCGCTGACTCTCGCGTGGCGCTGCAAATACAGAGACTCGAAGATGGATCGTCTTTTCGCATGGCTCTTCGTTCCCGAAGGTATCTGTCATATACTTCTTCATTATTTGAATCACATCGACTCTTGGGTTGGGAACTTCGCATTCGGCTATGCATTTAGTGCTGGCATTGCTCTGCCTGGGTTCCTTTCCCTCATAGCCTGGTGCCCGAAAAACAAGATGATCCCATGGCTATACATGATGTTGTACGTCGTCACGCAGATTCCCATTTGCCATGGATTGACGTTCATGGAAGGGCCAGCTAAGATGCGATTGAACTACGCCAACTTGAACACCGCAACCATAACAGGGCCTTTCTTCTATGGCATGCTGAAAAGGTGGAGCGACATCCCAAAGCTTCCAGTTTTCCTGGCGTGTGCGACGATCACATACCAGGTCACGATGGGCATCATTGGACCGATTAACAGTGGAGCAGCCTTGAAGCTGTACGACCCATCGGTTGTGCTCCAGCACGGAATCGTGGATATCGGATTTGGAATATCGTATGCGGCTTCCATCTATTACGGTCTCTTCAGGCCTGGAGTCGAGTGGAATGCTAAGCGTTGAGTTCAAGCAAGGGGTCCACGGTGTCCTCGCCTTCGTCTGAGAGGGGGCACCATTCGGCATCGCGCGCTATCATAGTGGCCTGTCCATGTTTCAAAGCCGCTCTCATGTTTCAAGGTGGTTCCGAAGCCTGGGGCACCCGCTTGTGCTCGATTCGATTCGGTTCGCCTGCGGGCGGCGATTCCGATTCGATTCGATTCGATTCGGTTAGATTCACTGGCATCGACCAGGGCAATCTGAAGCCAGGCGCTGCGATCCGATTTCGATTGGACTCGCGACGATTCGCTGGCGATGGAATTTGATCCGTTTCCGACCCGATCCGACCCTGACGTGCGGGTCGGGTGGACAGACCCAGAACGAGCGGGTCGGCCATGCGGGACGAACCCGGGCGATGTGAACCAGGCGAAGGGAACCCCCAAAAACGAACGCGGGCGAAGCAAATTGGGCGAAGCGAGCGTGGCGAAGCGAACCCATGGCGAAGAGAAACGGGCGAAGCGGAAGGGGCGAAGCGAACCGAAGCAAATCCCCAGATGAAGCGAATCCCAGGCGAAGCGAACCCTGGGCGAAGCGAGCCCCTGGCGAAGCGACCTGGCCGAAGCGAACTTGGGCGAAGCGAATTGGGGCGAAGGGAACCAGGCGAAACGAATTGGGCGAATAGATCCCCGGCGGCACGAACTGGGCGAAGCGAAGTTGTGCGAGGCGGACCCTGGGCGAGGCGAGCCCCAGGCGTAGCGAACCCCGGCGCAGCGAACCTGGGCGGAGCGAACCTGGCGAGGGCGAAGCGAATCGAGCGAAGCGAGCCCGAGCGAAGCGAGCCCCGTGCGACGCGAATCTCCTCCAGGGCTCAGGGGAATCAATGGGAGCCAGACGGGGGATACTACAGTTCAGGAGTTGTGCGCGAGGACCTCCCGTACCTCCAGAGCTGGGAGCCGTAGCTTCTCACCGAAGCATCGCAGGCTTCGAAGAGCATCGCTGAGCCTTCAGAGCTTCTTTTGTCGTGCCTGCCTCGCCAGCTCAGCTAAGATTGCATCTGAAACTAAAGCGTCTCTAAAGCAGATCGATTGCCACAAACATCACCCGAATACAGCACAGAGACGATCCGTGACTTTCGTTCTGGAGTCCTGACGGGGGGGGCTTGATTTCTTGGTGCTTGGATGAGTAATCCTGAGGAGACGGTCCAGTGATATCGCCGATTGCTGCTGAAGGGAGTCTCACTGGGCTGTTTAATAGCACCCTTAATCAGCGCAGGGAGGATGATTCTAGGCCTCCCAGATGGGGTCCGAGTAGATGGGGTTGGAGGATCGCGCCGCATCGGCGATCCATCGTCGATGCATAGCCGATGCGGCTCGATGTGGAGCCCGTTTTCTTCCACGTTGGCGTCGCCGATGCATCGTCGACGTCGCCGATGCATTTTTGATGCATTAGCGATGCATCGGCGATGCATCAGCGATGCATTGGCGATGCGGCGCGATCCTCCGACCCCCTCTGCTCGGACCCCATCTGGGAGCCCTCTTCTAGGGATGGCCTGCACGATGATGTGCGACTCACAATCGGGGCGCTGAAAAAGTAACACTTTTCGTCGGGGAGGGGCTCGGTGTTCCTTGATTATTTTACAGCTTGTCTTGGGTTGTCCTCTGACGCTTTCTGTGGGAAATCGAAGCTTAACTCGTGGAAGCGAGGGGCCTCCTTCCTGACTGGTCGTTCCTTAGGTCAGCGGTCCGACGGTATGACGGTATGACGCGCTCGGCACGCGGCGCTTTGCGGCAGTTTTTTTTCAACCTGCGCGTGGCACGCTCGGCGTGTGCTGCGCCGACACGCGGTCTGCGCCCCAGAGCTCCGGCCGGCGCGGGGCGGCGCGCAGCGGGATGAGAAACACGACAATCCGTGGAGGAGCGCCGAGCGGCCGCGCGCGAACCCGTCGGGCGGCCTTGTGCGAAGCGCAAGAAGCCCAGATCTCTCGGGCTGTGACAAAATCGCGACGGACGGTTTTTCGCTATTTTCTGCCTCCAGGGGCCCTCTCCAGGCCTCGGGACCGCCATAGAACGACTCAGGATGAAAAACCGGTCCCGGGGAAGGGGCCAGACCTCTGGGGGTCGACGTTGTGAACAAAATCACGACGTCGGGGGTTTGGAAACGACGCAAACATAACCTTCGGGAGCTCCGCGCGGATTTCTGGACCTGCGCCGGGCCCTCCTGGCGGCGCCTCGGGCGCTGCCCCTGGCGCGTTCCGCGTGCCAGCGAAAGGGTCGCCCAGCGCAGATGCCCCAAATCCACGCGGAGCTCCGAAAGATGGTGTGTTAAGTCGGGCCTATCCCTCTACAGGAGGAAAACTCAAAAACAGTAGAAAATAGTCAGGGGACTATTTTTCTACCATTTTTGACCTTTTTGGAGTATTCTGGGGGTTTTATTTTTTCGTCCTGGGGGACACGCCCGATCGAATCCTGAACCGCTGTGGAGGAGCGGAGGAGCGGCGGTCGGCCGCGTTCGCAACCGTTTGCGGCGGCCTCGTGCGACACGTCGCGGTGCAGCCGTCTGGGCTGGTGTAGGAGGGCGCGCCAACCGCACACCTGCACCGATCTTGGCAAGGTCCAGCCTGGGCCCAGGATCGGTCAGGTCAGGAGGTCGTACACGACGACCCTGTGTGCAGGGGGGCCCGCCTGGATCGGTCTACGTGGGCGCCCTCCTGCGGAGGGGCCTCTTTCCTCGTGCGCTGCGCCTCCAGCGGGGGGGGCAGCGCGCAGGCGGGAAGATAGACGCGCCTTAAGCAGGGTCGACTGCGATGACATTCGCGCGTGAGCTTCCCGCGTGAGGCATTTGCGCGTGAGCTTCCCGCGTAAGGTTGCGCGTAAGTGGCTTCTTCTCCATGCGGTGTGCCACGCGGGCGGCTCGCGTAAGCCCGCTGCGTGAGGTCGCTGTGCCATCACGCGTGAAGCCCAATTCTTCCCGTCGTTCCCAGGTGATCGTGGATGCGCAGCCTGCTGCGTGGGAATTGCAGCCAGGACGCTGACGTACGGGCCGCTTTAGGTTCAGGATGGGGCTCTGGCCTGCCGACCCCTTTCTGCGAAGGCAGGCAGGGGGAGGGCACGTAGACCTTTCTTTTTGGCCTCGAGCGGTGCCCCCCTGACCACGGCTGGATCCGCCTCGAGATCTATAGGCTTACGCCACATCCGCCGACCCCTTGATCGTCTTGGGGATGTCGTGTTGCTGTCCTGGGGCGTATTTGTGTTGTCTTGTTTCTTTGGGTGGGCGGGCTCGAGGCTCTTCGGGGCCATCCCCGAGCGAGTCCGGGGGCATGTGGGGCCGTTCACAGGACGAATCTGACACGTCTGGAGGCCCCGAATGGGGTCGGCGGATGCGGGTTGCATGACATGTGTCCAGACACGCGACAAGGCAGTTATCCGTGGCGGTGGTGATGGTGATCCGTGGTGGTGGTGATGGTGATGGCAGTGGTCATGCTGCGGGTGATGGCGATGATGATGCTGGTGGTGATGGTGTTGATGATGAGACTCGGATCTGGTGACATGGCACTGGCGGTGGTAATGAGGATGATCGTGGTGGTCATGGTGGTGGTGGTGGTGGTGGTGACGGTGACGGTGGTGGTTTTGATGCTGGTTATGATGATGGTGATGGTGATGATGATGGTGATGGTGATGGTGGTGGTTATGGTGATGTCATCAGGATGGTGATGCTGAGGGCGAGGAGGGAGGAGGGGAGAGGGAGGAGGGAGAAGAGAAGAAGGATCAATGAGGAGGACGAGGAAGAGGATGAGGACTATATGAGGGAAGAGGGGCAACTGCGCGCGCGGGCCATTGTGTATCTGTGTGCGCGAGCTCGGTGAAAAGGCGAAGAGCAGTGATTGGTGCGGGACGACGAGGAAGCGAAGCGCACGCTGCATCCAGCGGAAACGGCATAGTGGCAAACGAAAGAAGGCTTGAAACTTGACATGCTTGTGTATGAGCGCGTGGAGACTCCCGGCGAACAGCCGAGCCCCGCCGCTCGGGGGCGGCTGGGGGCAACGACCGTGCGGAGAGCCGCGCGAAGGACATGGAAAAGGGCAGCTCTGCGGACGGATCGCGCCGTTCGGAAAAGACGGGCCCGAGCGGAGGTTCACGGGCTTGGGCGGAGCGGGTCGCGCAGCGTTGGGAAGCAGACGCGGGCGGGGCGGGCGCTGTCCGGTCGGGAGGGCCTGGCGGGAGTGCTGGCTACGGACAGAGAGAGGGCCCCGCGCGGGGTGGCCCACCCCCGGAGAAACCGGGCGCACGGGATGTCGTGTCGCGGGAAGTAGAGGGCACTGGCCGACGAGAGGGGTCGAATGTCGGTGGTTCGGGAGCGCCCGCGCCGCCGCCCATCCTCGCGGCGCGCAGGGCGGATGCGGCCGAGGGGGGCAAGCGGCGGCGGGGCGACGCGAGCGTCGGCGCCACCGGCCGCGCGTCGAGCAGGAAGGCGATGGTCGCTGCGTGGAGTGGTGGAGGGTGCAGCGACGGGGACGGCTGCGTTGGCGAATGCGCAGGAGGTGCGATCGGAGCAGCAGTCGGCGGCGGTGGAGGAGCGGGGGGGGGCAATGCAGAAGCTCGGAGCGTAGGAGAGGGGCCAGCACGGCAAAGGCAACGGGCGGCGTCTGGCGAAGCGACAGCGCCAGTGGTCGCCTCGGGCTCGATGGACGCGGGTGGAGCGCCGCGTGGGGGACGGGCTCCCACCGCAGATGTCGGCGGGGGCGATGACGGCGCCCCCGCGGCGGAGGCGATGCAGAAGGCTTTCTATAATGGTGGCGTCGACGTGGCATCGCAAGATCCACGTCGGTGCCGAGAACTCCTCGTGGCAATTGCTGCGGCCAGTGTGCGGCGTCACCCGATAGTGCATGCGGACCCAATAGATCCCGCGCGGCCGTGGTCGCGAGCACTGGCCGAAGACATGGCGGTGGAGTTGCCAGCCGTGTGCTGCGCGTTTGTAGGGTGTGTCTGGCAGTCGGAGGACGTCGAGGAGTTGTGCGAGCACGTCCGCGA